GAAAAATAAATGCCATTTTATTGAAATTCTTGAACTTCCCTTTTCCCAGTTCTTTTGATGCTCCTGGGTTTATTTTTTATCTCTGTATGATCCAGTGTACTTGGCATTGTCAAGAGAAAGCTATTCAAATTTTATTCAAATAGAAACCAGTAGCTCAAAGATAAATATTTCCTAAAGGCATCTTCATCCCTCCTTCTGTAAGTTGTTGAGATCTTTTATCTCTGTTAATATTGCCTGGAGCTCCTGTCAGAACAAGACCAGGACATACAAGGTAATTAAGTCAAGGTGTCCAGCCTGAGACAGACACCTTGGACTGAGTAGCTGGAATGCAAACAAGCCCACAGGTGTGGGCCTTGACATGCCAGGTCTGTTTGCCCACATGTAATGCACTTAATTTGGGGCAGCTACGTGCAGCAGCCCTGGCTGTGTCTGCTCCTTGGCAACCTCTCTGCAGACATTGCTCGGAGGAGAGATAATTCAGTCCTCCCCCTCCATCTGTCTGTGGCACGTGGAGGAACCTGGCCCAGCACCTTCACCAGCACCTGCCCTCAGCACGTGCCTGCTCTGTGAGGGAGTGGGATGCTGGAGCTGCACAGGCAGTGGGGAAAGCAGCTGGGAATGCACAGAATTCCAGAGCAGTAGCAGAGCTGGCATCGGTTTTGAAAGCATTGGTGTTAGTACTGCCTTTGGGTTGCAAACGCTGTTGTCTACAAACTTAAATGTTGTCAAACAAAGAAAAAAGCCGATTTCTGTTTGTTTTCCCCTCTGCCAGCTGCGGGAGCTAAAGCAGCTGTGGGGTGGCTGGTTTGCGTTTTCCGTCTCCTAATGTTTCTCTTCTAGACACTGGTTTGGGGCTCTTCAAGAGCATGTACTGAGTTGTCCTCGATCTTACAAAGCCAGCACATGAATGTTGTTTCATATGGAAATGAATAGTTGCTTTTCAAACCTTGCTTTAATTGCAAAGATCAAAACCTGTGGTGAGTGGAGCCAAGGAGCTGCCCTGCTTGGCAATGGTGAGCATTCCCTGGAATACGTGCTCCTCTGGAAGCTAAGCAGCTCTTGCAGTATGGCTGGTTGATTGTGCCACACTCTGACACATTTTGCAGAAAATCTTTTATCTGTTGTTGTTTTATCCTTCCTGGGATAGGGAGAGTCCTGACCCTTTTCCCTCAGTAGCAGCAGCCCCTGGGACAGGAAGCTGCAGTGCCCAGCTGGGAGCAGCTCTGCTTGCTGCACCTGCTGTGGCACTGTAGGTGCTCCTGTGCCATGGAAATTAGTGCCTGCTCTGGGAAAGGGGCTGTTTGCCTGGAGGTGTTTGGTATTTCTGTATCAGCCTAGGAATTGGACTGGGTACAATGGAAAATAATAGTATAAGGTACAGCCTGCACTGGGGGCTGACAGAAACATGAGCCCTGCCCACAGAGGTGACTGAGCACTGCTCAGCACCCAGGGCTGCCCTGCCCATCCTGGTGGACAGGCACAGACAGGAGCAGGGCAGGGAGGGGACCGGGCAGAGCCTGTCAGCCTGAACACATGGAGGTGTGTCAAGTGCTGCCGTACTAAATGAAATGAGACAATCCCAAGCACAGATGGAATATTTTTTTGCTCTTTATTTCATGCTTTATTCCATATGGATCATTCCTCCCTACAAACATGGTGTTTGGTGTCAGTTAAACAGATCCTGGCCTATATTTCAGGTGTATTTTATTTACTCCTTTGCACAAGAAATATCTGATGATGTCTCACCTGCTTGCCTGTGGCTGTGTGGCCAGGCTGGTGATTCTGCAGTTTGTGACTTTCTGTACTTTCGAAATCATATCCACAGCATGGCTGTTGTTGAATAGAGAAAATTTCAGATATTAATATTAATGGATGGATTAAAATACCAGCTGAGGGTTCTCCAGTTATCCCCATGGCTTTCAGTGGCTCCGAGTAGAACCATGTGGCTCTGTCCCCTTGTGAGCTGGGTGTATCAGCCCTACATGCTGTTAGTGCTATGTCAGGCATGGTCTCTCATCTTATCATCAAGATACCAAGATGTGACAGCTTGGTACTGTGAGGTATTAATGCCTTCACATCATCAGTGCTCTGGCTGTGTGATCTTCAGAATGCTAGAGGAAGTCCACTGAATCTCTGGTCATGGCTGTGGCATGTGTGCCAGCTACCACATCATACTCAGAGCACTGATCCAGAGTGGCATATCTAAGCACACTGCAAGAGTATTTTATCTCAGAAGGAGCCATGTTCTCTATGTGCTGGTCACAGTTTATACGTTGAAAAGCCTCCTGAATGCCATTCTTCCCAAAGGTCTATTGGCTGAAGCCTGTTTCCTGAGCAACAGCCATCCCTTACCCCCAGGGATGTGTAACTCAGCATGGCATGGTGCAGCTGCAGCCTGAGCTGGTGGTAAGGCTCACCTAAGTGCAGGGGACTGCCCAGCACTCAGCTCATTTAATCAGCTCCTCTCCATAGGGGTGGCCAAGTGCTGGGCTCCAGCCACCCCCTCACCCTGTCACTGCTCTCCCCCTCCTGCAGCAGGGAGGAGCTGAGCTCAGCTCGGGGTCTGCACAGGCACAGGTCACTGCAGTTGGACTCCAAAGTAAATGGATGGGTTGTGCACAGGTGGATTGCTCAAACAGCAGCACAGCTCTTTTCTGGCAGTAGCCAACACCCACTGTCACCCACAGCCTAGCTGCTGCTCTGGGCTGAACTCTGATAGCCCAGTTTGGGAAAATACACACTTTTACATCCACTCTCTTCCCTCCTCTAGTCATCACAGCTTTACGTTAAAAAGCTAAAACCTCTAAATTACTGAGGGTGCACTCAATCCCTTCATCCAGATCATGGGTAAATATATTCATAAAATCACAGAATATGCTGAGTTGGAAGGGACCCACAGGGATCGAGTCCAACTCCTGGCCCTGCACAGGACCCTCCCCAATAGTCACACCCTGTGGCTGAGAGCACTGTCCAAACACTCCTGGAGCTCTGGCAGCCTTGGTGCTGTGCCCACTGCCCTGGGGAGCCTGGTCAGTGCCCAGCCACTCTCTGGGGGAAGAACATTTTCCTAATATCCAACCTCAGCCTCCTCTGAGACAACTCCAGGCCGTTCCCTTGGGTTCTGTCACTGAGGAGAGACCAGTGCCTGCCCCTCTGCTGCCTCTCATGAGAGGGGGGGAATACTCAACCCTATTGTCACCAACATCAAGCTCTTGACAGTCAAAGCACTCCCTCACATACAGAGCCCCCCCAATCACCTCTCCTTCCATGCCTGTCCCTTCTGAAGGCCATCCACCGCAGCACTCCAGCTGTGAGTCATCCCATCATGTTTCTGTGATGGCAGCTGTATCCTAGTTTTCCTGCTACACAGGGTTGTCCAGCTCCTCCTGTTTGTTGCCCGTCCTGTGCATTGGTGTAGATGCACTTCAGTTGGGTTCATCCTGCCATGTTTTTATGGGGAGAAGCTCTAATTTTTACATGACCATTCTCAGGCACTTCTGTGGTTTCTAACACATCAGTAACCCTTTGTGTCTTTGCTGCCCCGTGGATCTCCATCCCCTGCCTCCACGGAGATATATATAATATCATTCCACTGCATCCCACCTAGCTCTAGCTGCACACTGGCTGTGTAGATAAGTGGGAACCTCTCACCCTCTCCTTCCCCATCATCCTTTTATTTTTGTCAGAATGGAAACACTGCATTAAGCTGTTTCTGGTTCAGTGAAGGGCCATTTGCTATCCAAAGGCAGACTGCATTTGAATTTTCTTTCAAATGCCTCGTTAACTCTCTTCTGATTTACTCAGCGCACGATTATCCTGACGTTCTTTTACAACATGCGTCTGTCTCCTTTGTGGAGAGGCACAACCAGTAACCCAGATAACTACGGGTGACTGAGCAGCCCAAGGTGTGGGGATAGTCCGTGTTTTATGTGCTGTGGTGACACTGCTCAGTGCTGGGAGGTATACCAGGGACAGTGGGGTTTGTACAGCTTTCCTCTTTCTCCCTTGAGCCTCATAGACTGTCTTTACATTGTCTTCCCGTAATTCATCATTGCACCATTTTCCTGGAGAAAAACAGGGCTTCACTGCCACTCCACAACGGCCAAGTCCTTTTTAGCAGGACTCTGCCTTCCTGGGGAAATCCTTGGTGTTCAGACAGTCTCAGGCCCCAAGAATTCTGTGCATGTGCTCTGTAGTTGTTGAAATCCAAAGGGGACTGACCTGATGCACTGGTGGCATCAGGCAGGCACTCCTGCTGTAGTGGCTGCAGGACCAGCCCACAAATTCACCCCTGTAACTTGGCTACACCAGAGCTGAGGTGTGAATGGTCAAGAACGGCATCAGGCACAGCAACACTGTGCTCAGGAGCCCTCTTTCAGCTTCTAGCCCTGGGGGTTTTGGTGTTGGTTTGTTTTTGTTAATTGTTGGGGGTCCTGTTTTTCCTAGAGTAGGGCCTTTGTGGGGCATGTAGTAAATAACTGTTTGTTCCTCAGTATAATTGCTTAAACTCTCCAGGAGACTCATTCTAACCAGCTTAACTGCTAAGTTTAACCACTTTAAATAAAGACTTCAGTCTCTATCCATCCCAGAGTAGCTCTGAGGCCTCAGAATGCTTTCTCCTCTGAAGTGTGTCTCTAAATATTGGTGCTCAGGGTTTGATTTCAAGGCTTTCAAAAGCAGGGCTGTACTGGCAGCACCAGAGCATCCCCCACAAACAAGATACCACTGAGCCTTGTTTGCTGGCTGAGGCAAAGTCACCAGTATGAATTCCAGAGCATCAAACTTGTGTTTTTATGATTATGTTTTTCCTGTGTCCAAGTGATTCTGAACAAATGCAGGGTCAGCCAAAGCACCAGCCAGACGAGCCCCAACTCCTTTCCATGCTGCTCGTGGGGAGTACACAGATACCAGCACGTGGCTGGTGGTGCCAAAGCTGCAGCCACTGGGCACCCGGTGTTGCTTTCCCGGAGGGACTGACAGTGTGACTTGCTCTCCCCCAGCTCATCAGCGATGGCAGCGTGGTGTACGCAGAAGCCCTGTGGGACCATGTCACCATGGATGACCAGGAGCTGGGATTCAAGGCCGGCGATGTCATTGAAGTGATGGATGCGACCAACAAGGAGTGGTGGTGGGGGAGGATCCTGGACAGCGAAGGCTGGTTTCCAGCCAGCTTTGTTCGGGTAAGAGCTTCATCTTTCTTTGTGCCTCTCCATTAGCATCAAGTGTTTTTTCTTTTTCTCCGTGTTTAATGTTCTGTGGTGACTCCTTGAGCACTTTCGCTGCAAGAGACAATTGCTTCAACATTACTGTTACTATTCTGTTACTTCAGAGTTTGGATTGACAGGAAGCTGAATGTGAGCCAGCGTGTGCCCAGGTGGCCAAGAAGGCCAATGGCATTGTGGCCTGTATCAGGAACAGTGTGGCCAACAGGTCCAAGGAAGTGATTGTCCCCCTGTACTCAGTGCTGGTGAGGCCACACCTTGAGTCCTGTGTCCAGTTCTGGTCCCCTCAGTTCAGGAAGGACATTGAGGGGATGGAGCAGGTCCAGACAAGAGCAACGAGGCTGGGGAAGTGACTGGGGCACAAGTGCTGTGAGGAGAGGCTGAGGGAGCTGGGGCTGTTGAGCCTGGAGAAGAGGAGGCTCAGGGGAGACCTCCTCACTCTCTGCAACTCCCTGCCAGGAGGGGGGAGCCAGTGGGGGTTGGTCTCTTCTCCCAGGCAACCATCAGCAAGACAAGAGGGCTGGGTCTTGAGCTGTGCCAGGGGAGGTTTAGGCTGGATATTAAGAAGAAATTTTTTACAGAGAGAATAATGAGACATTGGAATGGGCTGCCCAGGGAGGTGGTGGATTCACCATCCCTGGAGGTTTTTAAGATGAGACTGGATGTGGCATTAGTGCCATGGTCTGGGAACCACAGCAGGGTTGGATCAAGGGTTGGACTCGATGATCTCAGAGGTCTTTTCCAACCCAGCTGATTCTATGATTCTGTGATTCTGTTCCTTTACATGTGGCTGTGGTACATTGTGCCCTCCTGGCTGAGCTGCCTCCAGTGTGAGCTCACTCAGCATAAGTAAATCATGGCAAGGGTGGTTGAACTCCAGACCAGAGCTAAGCTGAGCTGTGCCAGCTGGGGAGGGTGGTGGCAGCCTGGGCTCCTGCTTACGGGTATGTGTATTGCTTAGTTTTGGCCCAAGCACGTGGCATCCCCTGCCAGGAATGAGCAACACTCTCCTAAAGGAATCCCAGATGCAGCTGGCAGAGGTCTTCACTCCAGTGTCCACTTAGACAATATGGATGAGCATGGCACCAAATTCAGCTTTCTCCATCTGGTGCTGGGGCCAGTGCAATGCCACATATGTGACCACCTGACTCACACGTGCACCTTCCCTTAGCCTGTCAGGCTGCTGGGCTATCACACAGCACTGTATTCCAGGCACTGAAACACATAAAATGTCTTGGAGGTCATGTAGGACAACTGATATAGGGCAATAGGAGACATTCAGAGCTTTTGGGCTAAGGCTCTCCCTTGGTGCCAGCTATAAAGCCCACACAGAAATAGCTGTGCAGAGGAGCCCAGACAGTCCCAGCTGCACTCTGCAGAGGCTGGGTTCATTTCCAGCAGAGCTTCTGAAACATATCTGAACTCCCAGGGCAAATGGGGGGGAAACCAGGAGTCTGGTAACTGCTGTGCCCCCCTTTCCTGCTGTGAGGAGAAAGCCTTTTTTCCTTTCTCCAGGCTGTGACTGTGTGTGTGGGTGCCTCACTGCTTTCACCACCTCAGGGCAGCTCCTCAGTAGAGCAAAGGCAATCAGGTGCCTAAGGGCAGAGATTCTCAGCCCTTTAGCTCTTTATCCAGGTCACTTGAGATCACAAATGACCCAAAACCAGGTGAAGCATGAAAAGAGGTGACAGGAGGTGATCTGGTGTCCTTGGACAAGTGGGGCAGATAGTGCTATGAAAGTTTTGAAATACTTTATTATGGGTTGCAGGAGAGGCTGTCAGCTGGATAATTACTACAAACAGTGAAGTTTTTTTGCAATTGCCAGGACTAAACTCTCAACACTAGTGGGGACAGCACTTTTTTTTTCCCCTTCTTTTCAGTCAAAACACAGGCCTTATTTTTTTTCATGTTATTGACAAGCTGAATTGTCCTGGCTGGCAAAACCAGCGATGATATCCTAAGGGAAAGCGGACTAGTACCAGCCATTAGGGATGCAGAGTAACAAATTCTTTTAGCAGAGTAATTACAATACTTATTCATGCATCCAAGCAGAGATTTCCTGCTAATTACCACGAGGTCTGAAGCTCCTGCGGGGAGGGATGGCTTGTCTGAGGGCCTGGGTCAGTCTGCAGGTCTCTCAGTTACTCCACACAAGTTTCAGGCCAAGGTCTGAGTTTAAGACTTGCCAATGTTGCTCTGCTCACAGTGAAGGCAAACCAGGATTGCTCATCTTGAGGGCTTCAGCAGCTGCAAATAGTGAGTACATGTAATTTGGGCCTATGTTGACAAGGGAGAGAGTATGCACTCTTGTTGTATGTAGATGTATTGGTATCAAGGGGTAAGTAATCGTGCCTGGAAGAAGCTACATTAAAGGTTTAAAGCAGTTCTGTGTCATTGTACTAAAAATTCCTATAGTTATGTGTGTTTCTACTTCATATCTCACTTTTCTCTGTGCTGAGATTGATCATTTGAGTCACGGTCAAAGTATTCTCGTGGGCACTTGGAGAGCTACAGTAGTGCTACAAAAAAGAAAGCTCCTGAGGGAAATGCATCAACACTTGCCTGCTTTAGCTCGGGTCCTTTGCAGTTGTTGACTAAACAGACTCTGTGGGACGGTGTGGCTGCAAGGCTGGCGTTTCCTCTGCTCGTGCTGTGCTGCCATCTGATGGGCACCGGGAAGGACCGCGAGCCCCACAAAGCCCTGGAATGTAGTACCGTTCTTCCCGCGTTATGTGCCCGCTGGGAGCTGTACCTGCTTTTAGATTAACAACGAACTCTCTTTAAATAATCTTGGGGAAGCAAAAACCAAGAGTCCATCTGTTATTGGTAGTATGACAACAGTAAAGCTAGATAAAAACCCAAGCATTTACTGGTTTCCCCCTCCCTAAGTGCCCTCTCATATACCTGAGAAATTTCACTTGATAAACCCTTTTTGTCCTGATTTTATACGTAGTCTTCCTGGAAGACTTCTGTCCACAAGAAATGCCTGCTTAAAACCACCCGTATCACACAGTGGGAGCAGCTGCCATGTGTATTCAAAGTACCCTCCCCAAACTGACTATCTGGCCATAGCTTCCCCAAGGGGAAAATACATCTAGGAGCAATATACAGGTAGCAGCCCTCTTCACACCCTCTTCACACCCAGTCCAGACTCAGTCTGCCATTCAAACAGTCTGACTGTCCCAAACTTCCTTAGAAGAGTTGTGTTTAGCAGTACAAACTGTGACCATCTTGTGTGTCTGTCACAGCTGCGGGTGAACCAGGATGAGCCCATGGAAGATTATCCTCTGAAGGTGGAGGGGGGCAGAGAGGACGACTCCCGGCGCTTCGGGATGGGCCAGACCACCAAAGACCAAATGAGGACCAACGTCATCAACGAGATCATAAGCACAGAGAGAGACTACATCAAGCACCTGAAGGACATTTGTGAGGTAACAGAATAAAGGGGGAAGTGAATGTAAGAACTTGTCTGAAGGATAATGGAGTATGTCCCACTCTTGCCCAGAAAGGGACCCTGAGCAGGTAATTTTCCTGAAAATGAGACTGTATTCCCCTCAGAGCCTGCTCTGCTGGCTGGCATTACACACTCAGAAAACAGAAGACAATTCATTACAGCAATATCCCAAATGCAGAGGCATTTGGAGCACTCACTTGTGCTCTGATTAAATGGCATTAATTGAATTTCCCAAGCCAGAGAAAAGTAAATGTCTAGGCATTGCTGTCCTCTCTAATATGTGTTCTAAGCTAATATAATCAGCAACTCCAGCCCTCAGGCAAGTCGTGCTCAGATCAAAACAACTGGGGGATGCTCAGCCAAATGGGTCCTTCACTTGCAAATATGCTGAGTATTGGGACACCTCTCCTAAAAGAGATGCACTGGTCCTAGGCAGGGTAACTGGGGAGAGTTCTGCAGGAACACAGTTCTTTACTGAAATGGTACAAAAGTGCAGTGGCTCCTAGGAGAGTAGCTGGGGCAAAGCAGCACCCACATACAAACAAGCCTCTGCAGTGTCCCCATGTCCTACGTGCACTCCTCCTCCCTGAGTCAGCCAGGCATCTTCCCACATAAACATCCAAACCAGAGCCACAGCTGGATTTAATTGGCCTGAATCTATCAGTGGGTCAGTGCTGGGCTCAGAACACCCCATAGCCTGAAGCCACATAAAGGTCTTTTTAACAGGAGGGAAAGCAGCTCTGTGACTCCTTCAAGTGTGGGTGACAGGATCCTTCAGGGCAGTGATGTGTCTGTGGCTTGGTTTCTATTTCTACCACGTTTGGGGTGACATTAGAGGAAATAACAGCCTATGCAGGAACCTGCTGTACACCTGACTGCAGTCCCCAGGGTTTTCTGCTGGCCAGAGGTCAGAGAGCACATGCCCAGGAAGGTTGACAGTTTGGTTTCCTCCCAGGGCTACATTAAGCAGTGCCGCAAGAGAGCTGACATGTTTACAGAGGAACAGCTGAAGACAATCTTTGGGAATATTGAGGACATCTACAGGTGCCAGAAGAAATTCGTTAAAGCACTAGAGAAGAAATTTAACAAAGACCACCCACATTTGAGTGAGGTTGGCTCATGCTTCTTGGAATATGTAAGTAAATTTTACTTCATGGGAAAGGGGTAGCTGAGCATGGATTAGGCCAGAGAATTTAGAAATTGATCCGACAGAACCAAAGCTTTCTTTAAAAAGACCCGCCCAACCAAACTAAATGCCACACCCCCCTCCACCCTGTTCAACCACTCCCCCTGCTCGCAACTAAACATCCTGTAACTCTTGTGGCTGTGGAAAGAGTGTTTTCAAAGTGCCCCATCTTCTGAACACTACACTCCCTGCCAGACCTTGGCAAAAATGTAGGAAGATTCCAAAATTTTGAGCTGGACTTGAGTTTACAGGATGGTATTTCCAGGCCAGTGCCGGATCAGCAGCAGCTGATCCACTCATTCAGAGCATTCAGCTGGGCGCAGTCCAGGATACATGGGAACGTCCTGGTCTCTCAGAGAAGCTGCATGTGCTGTAACCTGTAACACACCTGCCCATCCCCAGCTCCAGGTCTCTGGGCTTCAGAGTCTGGAGAGGCTGCAAATCCCTAAACGGAGACACAGGAGTAGGACCTACCCAGGGAACACACATGGGGGTCTGAGCCAGGCCATCCCCCTGAGGAACATGGCCAGTGAATCCCTCCGTTTCCCTTGCAGCAAACAGAGTTTCAGATCTACTCCGAGTACTGCAACAACCACCCCAACGCCTGCATGGAGCTGTCCCGCCTCACCAAGGTCAACAAGTACGTTTACTTCTTCGAGGCCTGCCGGCTGCTGCAGAAGATGATCGACATCTCCCTGGACGGGTTCCTGCTGACCCCCGTGCAGAAGATCTGCAAGTACCCCCTGCAGCTGGCTGAGCTGCTCAAGTACACCAACCCCCAGCACAGGTGGGTCAGCCAGGGGCAGGGACGGAGCCAGGCTGGGCTCATGGAAATGGATTTGTGCAGAGCCCTGTATGGAGGGCACTTACCAACAGCAGCCAACACCACAGTTCTTGGGGGTTACCTTGTGGAAACCAGGAAAAGAAGTATTTTTTTGTCAAATATGTATTTTTCCATTACAGTAGCACTGGGCTTTCCTGTCTATTACAGATCTGGAGTTACAAGGTCCACCTTATAATGGCACTTTTCTGTTTTATTTGGCTCACTTGTCTGTGATACCAGCACATAGATACTCTGGAGTTACATGTTTCTGGTGGTGGTGGTGGTGAAAACTTTGTCTCCAAAAGCATTGGTTGAATATACCCCAAAATGTCCACGTAGCTACATCTCACCAGTGGGAAGTCGTGGCCTGCAGCAGTCAGGCCACACACACTCTGTGCCCTGTCAGCACCAGCTCCAAAGCTTCCAAATCCATTGCTCAGTTTCAGGGTGAAGGCCCTGCCTTTTGATCAAATAATTGTCACTTAATCAAGCATCTGAAATAATCAGCTACAGAAATAAAGTATGAAAAATCTGTATTAAAGTGTTGATATTGGTCCATTGTGGCTTGGCTTAATTTCACCTTCCTAATTGCAGCCCTGGCATTTCCCAGAATGATTTTAAGCATGTCTTGTTAAATCTCTAAGCATGTTTTCTGAAGCTGACCTCGGAGCAGAAAACTCCTTAATGCAGTGCACAGATGTTTTGAAAGTTGCCTTAGAGCCAAGTTGTGCAGCTCAGCTCCTTTCCCTTCTGAACTCAGCAGAAGTAGCTGGTGGCAGCAGATGGTGTGGGGGAGGGAAGATCAGCTTCTGTCCTACCCTTCCAGATAAGCCATCGGCTTCTATTTGAAATGAAGCCAGTTAATGCTGAACTGCCTCACCTCTGCATGACAGATCAGCCTCTGGGTGGAAACAGCGGCATAATGAATATGTTGTATTATGTTGCAGAAAGAAAATGAGGCTTGGAAAGCCCTGAAGATTCTTCCAACAACTCATATTTACACCTCTGTGGCTAAACTTGATTACTTAACCCCTTCCCTTTCCCAAACCTGGCCTGTTTTTGTTAGAAGCCCATAATCTGTGCCTCGAAACCAGCACGGTCTGACAAGCTGTGCCTCCAACTTCCAGCACAGCACAGCTGGGACAGACTGCAAGTGGAACTGCTTCAGTCCCCAGCTCCAGGCCGTGCAAGGCTGCTCTCCTTTGCAGGGCAGGTACAACACACATGTGCCATTTTGCCATGTCTGACACCTCTGCCCATCCCCAGGGATTTTAAAGATGTCGAGGCTGCCTTAAACGCCATGAAGAACGTCGCCCGGCTCATCAACGAGAGGAAGCGGCGGCTGGAGAACATCGATAAAATTGCTCAGTGGCAGAGTTCCATAGAGGACTGGGAGGTGAGAGGCTTCCCTTCCCTGGGAATCAGCTGTTCCATGTTGATCCTCTTCTGCCCTTCCAACAGCTTCTGCTTACAGTGAGATCTCACTATCCAGCCCTACCTCAGTCCTCTAACCTTCCTCGTGGCTTTTTTATTAAAACAGAGGTGATCTTTTAGTACAACTGAACATGTCCAGCACATAACCCACCTAGACCAGCTGCCTTGGCATGTTCCCTGGGATTTTTGCTTTTTCCTTGCAGAATGAAATTAGCGTGTAGGTTAGTGAAATTCTATTATTTTTCTCTTGCCCCCCATTTTATCTTGAGTGGTTTCAAACTCTCAAGATGAGAATTGTCGCTTAATGCTTAATAAACCAGGTTATTGTTGCAGAAACGTAAGCTCTGATATAGTGACAGAGGAAGCCAAGGTTCCTGTAGACTCATTTTAAAAATTGCTAAACAAAAGAAACAAAATACTAATTTTCTAAATCCTACACTCAATAAAACCACACTGCCTCCCTGCCCAAGGATGCCAGGCTAAATTCTCAGCTCTCTGCTTATGTGCTTCCTTTCTGTGTGGGATGAGGCAGCTTCCCTAAGCAGACTCCCTGGAAAAGGGGATTTTTTTCATTTAACACGCTATTGTTCTTCTCAGATTCAGTTCTCATTCCCTGGGTGCCAAGGGCACAGTGTCTCCATGACATGATGAGAACTGTCCTTCAGCACAGAGGCTGCCTCTCATTCCCAGAAGACTTTTATCAGCAGGAATTCAGGCCCCTCACACAAGCTGAGGTTCTCCTGTGAGACTGCGGGCTTATTTCTTGCTCCCCATTTTCAGATGTTCTCTGTGCTGTTCCCAGGGTGAAGATGTCCTGGTCAGAAGCTCAGAACTCATCTATTCCGGGGAATTAGCCAAAATCTCCCACCCTCAAGCCAAGAGCCAGCAGAGGATGTTCTTCCTCTTTGATCACCAGCTCGTCTGCTGCAAGAAGGTAACCCCCCAGCCAGGCACCAGTGCTGGCTACCACAGTGCTGAGGAATTTAAGTGAGCTCCCTCTCCAGTCCTCTGTGTCCTTAATACTTACTGACATCGTGTGCTCCTGGCACTGAGACCTCTCTGTGCATTCACTGCAGTCTTTTCTCTGATGTCCTGGGGTGTTCTGTGCCCCTGAGCACAGCAAACAGCTACCAGCCTAATTCTCATACTGAAAGAGGAAAGCACTGCACTGCTTCTAGGGTTGGTAGAGGGGATATTTCATACAACTCAAGTATAAGCATTCTCACATATTTTCTTTGAAATACCTTATTTTTCAACTGTGCTGTCACCTGAGATAAGTGTCAGAGTCAGAGGGCACCTGCAGCTTCGATGAAGAGCTGTGGGCCTTGGCAGTCAGTAAGACCATATTAAGTCACATGTAAGTCTGTAAGTACAGCCCATGTTTTTTATCATAACCTAAGTAATGAAATCTTCCTTCTTGGAGCCAATGAAAGGTATCTTCCTCTGGAATTTCAAAACTGAATGTGCCAATTATTTTTTGCACATTCCACATCTTGCAGGTAGCTCTGAGTAACTTGGGCGTGAAAATTGCTATTCTCAAAGTTACTTTTCATTGTCAACACAAGAAACAAGAACTAATTAGGATTTCTTTCTTTTTTTTTCTTTCTAACTGGGACTGGAGGATGCAAATAGTGTTTTCTGTCAGAGGACAGAAATGAGGGATTTGGGATAATACCCAAGCTTGCTTCTCATTCAGATCTTCAGGGCAGCTGATACCCCCCCAACAGCAGCTGCCACTTGTCCTGACCCCAGGGCCCCTCACTGCCAACAGCGCCCACAGCAGCTCAGCAATTCCACAGATTCAAATCCAGTATTCGGGGTTTTTTACAGAACTGTAATGACTACTGGGAAGATTAAATACATCACATCAGAGAAAATGAATGTTTAGGACAGGAAACAGCACATCTGTTGTGGTCTCTCTTACAGGACCTTCTGCGCCGGGACATTTTGTATTATAAGAGTCGGATCAACATGGATGACATGGAAATACTGGATGTAGAAGATGGGAAGGACAAGGACTTCAATATCAGTGTGAAAAATGCATTTAAGCTGCACTGCCGAGACACTGAGGAAGTCCACTTATTCTGTGCAAAAAAGCCTGAGCAGAAACAGCGCTGGCTGAAGGCGTTTGAGAACGAAAGGAGGCAGGTGCAGCTCGACCAGGAGACAGGTATGGGAAGAGCAACGCTGGGAGACAGTGGGGGTTTTTTGTTTGGTTTTGTTTTTCCTCTTTTTTTACCCACTAGCCAATGCCTGGGAGGGAAAGGGTGGGGAAGCCAGTCCATGCTCCAGTCCAGCCCTGAGCTGCTGAATTGCACATTCTGAATGAATCTGTGCAGTTATAAAACCACCATGAGCCGACACTGCAGCGTGTCCCCAGGGAGGCTGATGTGTCTTTAATGAGTTCAGGCAGGGCTGAGAAAATAGTCAATACATTACATACAGCTTCCAGTATTCTGCAGTAGAGTGTGAGTGCCCAGCTGGGAGGTATCTGTACAGAACAGGTTCAGTCAAGGGCTCTCACTGTGCAAGAGGGTTTGCACTGTTTTGTCTAAATCCTGCTTAATTCAGATCAGAGTGATCTAGAAAGATTTCAGCCAAACTGGTTTGGGCTGGCTTCTTCACCCAGCAAAGTGTGGGGCAAAGGGCAGGAAGAAAACCTGGCATGAGAGGTGGGGAAAGCTGTGCAGTGCAGGCTGGGGAGAGAGGGCTGTGCCCCTGCCAGCCTTGGCAGTAACTGTGCCCTCTCACCTCAGGCATTTGCCTCCCCCCGGTATTTCCTCTGAGACACCAAACCATGACCTGCTGCTGACAAACTGTTTTATCTTCCAGGTTTTTCAATCACCGAGGTGCAGAAGAAGCAGGCCATGCTGAATGCCAGCAAGCAGCACCACGCTGGGAAACCCAAGGGTGAGTCACATCTGAGCACAGGAACGCTGTGACAGCGGGGGGTAGCTCGGTATTTACTACATGGGAAGAGTTCCAATGAAGTGGCATTAACAAGCTCTGGAGAAGGCCAGATGGTGAGCTCTGATGTGACAATCTGCACTACAGTTCCTGGTAGCTTCAGATGGCTGGAGTCAGGAAACTGTTCCTAACTCCAGAGCTGCTTTGCACATAATCACTGAGCGCTGTGCCAGAAACCATCAGCCCTGATCAGTGCACAGCCTGGCCCGGGGACACAGGCTCTCCCAGCAGTGTGGCCAAAGGCAAGCTTTGTAGCAGTCCTCACAACACACAGAGGGTCATAAAGGTAACTGCAGCAGGGACTGTTCCTGCCTGGGGAAGATGCTCTGAAACTGCAATTTGGGCAGAGTGCCAGGGGTAGGTACCATGCTCGAACAGAGCTGATCATTCAACCTGTCACACACAAGGATAATTTAGCAGCAGCCAGGGGAGTGTGAACTCAAGCAACAAACTGGAAGGTTCCTGTGCCCACAGCACTGTTGGCTGAAAAGAGCCCTGTGATGCCACCTTCCCCTTCTCTCTGTTCAGAGGAAGAGGTGTCACTTGCTTTTCCCTGGACCCACAGAGGAAGCCACTTCCTCTTGGTGGTACCAGCCAGCACTTAAATCCCAGCCACGTCTCCAGTAAGAAAGCTTGACTAAATGTCAAAATAGGTCAGAAATAAGATTTGACTGCAAACAGAGGGAAGTTTGGAAGGAGGTCAAACCTCTCTAACAGAGCAAAGCCCTTGGGACAAAGCATTAGAGGTGGCCACAAGCTAGCCCTCTCCACTGGGCAGGCACTGACCATTCCTACTTAGAAATCCATCCCAGGATGTTGGAACAGGCAACAGCAGCATTTGTGCAGCAGTTGCTTCTCCCAGCACAGGCAAAGGCACCAGTTAAGTTGGTGATGAGCTGCAGCTCTTCAGCCCTGTTGTTGTGTTGGCACAACACCTGGCAGTTATGTGGCACATTTCTGGAACTTCCACAGCATCAGCTCTAATCCTAACAAGCAGTGCTGAAAGTAAGGGTAAACTAAGGGAAGAGTAACACTAAGACAAACCCAGTTCATGGCCCTGCAGCTTTAACGGGGACTGAAGGGGGAGGAGGGAAGGGAGCTGTGCTCAACTAATATGCTTCCTCTCTCCTCCTCATCCCAGCTGTCACCAGGCCCTACTATGACTTCCTGATGCGGCAGAAGCATCCCACCCTGCCCACCACACTCCCTCAGCAGCAGGTCTTCATGCTGGCAGAGCCCAAGCGCAAGCCCTCGAACTTCTGGCAGAACATCAGCAGGCTGACGCCCTTCCGGAAATAGGGGCGGCCCCACGTTTGTGCCTGAACCTCTTCTGAGAAAGCACTTTACCCGTCAGTCCTGGGAGGTGGAGCCCAGGTTCTTCCAATCCTTTGTTTACGGAGGATGGCACATGTGCTCCTGCCTTCCCTATTTATTTTGCAGCCCGACTGACCGCCCTGGTTCCGAGGTGAGACACTGCGTGTGCATTTGTGCCGTGGAGCCAGCCTTGCACAGCGCCCACGAGGCAGAGCTCCAGGAGGAGCTCACAGGAGGGAGCCTGACACGCTTCAGCTGAAGAGATTTTGCTTGTCAGCTGTAGTTGGACTCACTCCTTCCCACTGTGCCCACCACTGCTGTCTGGCAGCTGTCAGAGGGGGTGGCAGCTGACAGACCCACTGCCGTGCTCAGAACGACAGTTCAGAGTCACTGACGTGACACACTGGCCGTGGAGGGACAAACCCTTCTGCTCTGCCCCCTGCCCCACGTTTCTCAGAGACATGATCCTCCTACACAGGCCCAACTAACTCAGCCTCTGCAGGCCCTCAGACAGACACAGTGAGTACAGCACTGTGACCTCTTCTTTCCTCTAGTCCAACACCACTGGTGAACGGTATCGTACATTAAACTGTGCCAACCTGCAGCATGAGTCAAGTTCAAGAATCTCTCTAGTGGGTTTGAGTTACATAAGTTAGAGAAAAATGTGCCTAATTAATACCGTACTCAATTCCTTAGATTCTCGTCTCTCCATCATTCTGCCATATTTCCTGGCCAATGAAAATGCTCATTGTTTGTAATGTGTTTATTTATGGTAAAAATCAGAACTGTGTATTTTGTAAGTCTGTAATTGTTCTTGTCAGATGTTGTTAACTTGATGCCTGTTTTGTCTGTTTAATTTTTCTTTTTTTTTTTAAAAAAAAAGGTCAATATTTGCAAACCCGGCTCCCAGAAGTCAGAGTCTGCTGTTCAACTCTGAAACACAATTGTTATGCAAACTCCCACAGACCTTCTCAAATTCAAGGCGTGTTATTGACACTTTTAAAAAATGGAAAACCACTTTAAAAAGGCCTAAATTTGGCATAAGGAGCCTCATTTAAGTACCCAAGTTTCAAACCGTGGCCAAAAAGAATTAATTTGAACCTTGGTTAGCAAAAGGAAAGATTTGCCTTACCATAGCGAGAGTTAGAAGCCATACTGACTGAATTCCCTAGCTTAGGAGACATCCTGTGACAGTGGAAGGAAGACTCCTGCTCATTCCAACTCGACGCTGTGTGAGTGAGCACTAACTGTCTGCAGAGCTCAGAAATCCAGTGTTTGTTGATGCTGTAGCTGACCAAAGTCTGGTCATCCAGGGATATCTGAATTCAGTAGCATGTACAAAGTCCTTCTTGCACTATATCTTCCCCCCAGACCAGGGGCAACATTTAATTTCATAAAGAAACTTGTAAAAGTGACTCTCAGCCTGTGTTTGTCTCCAGCATGTCTGTGTGAACTTGTTTCTCTGCAGAGTCACTGCAGAGATTCTGCTTTTGCAGCTCCAGCAGTGACCACACCACCCTCAGAGCAGCCACCCTGCACAGGGACCAGACCAGAGCGGGCACTGGGGACACTCTGCACTGGAGAGGACATGGGTCAATACTGGGGGAGGGGCAGGGAAAAAAACAAACCCAGACAGAAAAAAAAACACTTCAAGAGCCACTGAGATCAGGCAGCTACATCACTGTTGGCATACTGATCTTTGCAATACAGACACACTGAGACACCGGCACACAGAGACACCCACCACGAGACACACAGACCCCAACAGGCACACACCGAGACAGACATGGGCAAGGTGGAGAGAGAGAGATGGCAACCAAGAGAGACCCTGACACAGAGACATGCAGACACACACACACAGGTACATCAGCTACAGCCAGCACCCCTCAGGAACAGAAGGCAACTGTCACGTTTGTGTTTACCCTAAGTGTCTGCACCCTCCTTTCCTTATCCATGGCGTGTTTGTTTTGATTGGCCAGGAAGCAAATCTGTTGGCACTGAAATGATCAATTTTCTGAGCTTATCATCAACTTTGCAGTAAGTTGGGGAGAGGACAGTTCCCCCACAACACATGCACACACCCTCTAAGCATGATCAGCTGTGAAGATGCAACAGGTTTCTCATGATCTTGTCCAGCTGAGTGTGCTCAAGGATGGGGATTCCCCCAAGAACCTCCTTGCCTCCCTGAACAAAACATTGCTGTCCCCACCATGAAAGAAGTGCTGACATCTATTCAAAGTGCCCCTTGCTGCAACATCTGTTTTTTAGCCACTATGTTGCTTAATACACTCAGCTTTACATCTACACTGAAGTCACTCCACTAGAACTCCTCACCTCTTCTCCTGAGGGAAATGGGGGGACAGTGGCACAGGACCCTGGAGTGCAGCAGCTGTGAAGCGCAACAATGCCCCTGCCCTCCCTTGCTGAAAACACACACAAGAACTGGCTACTATTCATTATCTGGGTAGCAATATTCTGAACAGTAGATATGCACCAAGTGGTTTAAATTCTCACATCACTTACCAGCTCTTCCAGAACTGATTTCACATCTGACCACTGCGCACAAATGATTCATAGCAGCACGTTTTACAGAAACTGTTTTTTACTGCCAAACCAGACTCCTCTAGTCAGACAACATCGCTGACCAGTTAATTATTTTTGGTAGAGAGAAATACATTCTCCGCTTGACTATCAGTACTCTTCCTAAAAAGCGTCCTCAGCTGGGATTCTAGTCTTGCACGCCAAGTTTGGAGCTGGGATCCGATCCCCTGTGCGAGACTGAGATCAGTACAGAAGCTGATCGTGCTGGAAGAGGTGACACTGCTGAACAGGTAAGGCTCAAACCCACTGTGCTCAACACACCCACCCACAGCCTGCTCTGAAGAGGATTTTATCACGAAACACCACCCTTTGTTTTCTACCCAGCACTGCTTCCTGATTCTCTCACCACAACCCACAGTGTTTCCTGAACAAACTGTGTAGCAGATCACGTGCAAACTCATTGGTTTTAAGTGATTAGACACTCAAAAAAGTCATTGCCCAAGTTCCTCATTAAATGGCAAAGCGTCCTTGTGTGTGAGATGGTGGTAACACATTAACCAACCCTGAATTTCCTTCCTCTTCGCCCTGGCATCTGGATTTCAAATGGAGTTCCATTGTTCTGGCAGTGAACAGTACCAGGGAGAACATGTGTGTAGGCCAGGAGGTGTGTGTGTACACAGTGTGCAGCTTCACAAGGGCATCAGCTAAACTCATGCTAACGGGGTTTTTGGCATATGAGCAATGCAAGTACAGCCTCTGACAAGCTCTCGGATCTAAATGGACAGCACAGTCTTGCCAGATCCACAAGAAGTGCCCATTTGAAACATGAAGCAGAGCTGTGAGATGTCAGAGGAGCTCTGGAGAGAAACCACCTACATGGGCCAGAAATGCAGATTTTCATACAGAACAAACTCCAGCTCCTGACATGAGGCTGAACAGCATCAATCCTTCTGGATTTCAGGGTAGAACCATCCTAACTGCTCAGAAAAACAGTTCTGCACTGAGTTACATAAAGTGGACAGGAAGATTTGATTCAGGGGTGGTTTGGGTTTTTAGAGGTGTTGGCTCTATCTGTTCCCCTCCTTCTGTAGCTATCCATTTAGGAAGCTTTTTGTGAAAACAGCCATGTTTCTTAAGGAGCTAAATCTGCCCAGTTTTCACTTGGTCAAGTAAGACACAGACTTATGTAAAGCATGTGAACCAATCAAAAGAATGATTTCCTGAAACTACCAGTAATGTGAAGAGAACTGGTGGCTGCTAAATAATGAAGTTTCTGCTGTGACCAAAAAAACCACCACAAACTCTCTGTTTTGAACTGTTATTTTGGAATAACTGATTCAGACACGGTGGGTGTATACACTGTGCCAAGTTCTGAGAGCATCAAAACCAGAACAAACTGTCTTTGTACTAACTCACAATAACAACTAGATCAATTCCCATGCAGAGATAAGTTCCCCCAAAGCAGCCTTTAGTATCTTTTCTGTTTTGTCTGTAACCTGAAGAGCTGTGGGGTATTGGGTGGTGGGGAGTCCTGTTTGTGGGCAGCCACTGTGTGCACAGCAGGTGATTCCCACCATCCAGGACACTGCTCCACAAAGCCAGCATGGCTGTCTGTCATCCAGGAACCAGCACAAACACCTGCATCTGGGTGTCCCAACAGCTTCCCAAAACCATCAGGAAGCCAGGCCTCCCCCTCACCAACAGATGATGAGATAACAGAACCAAGGCACTTGCCGGTGACAGGCATTCCATGAGAATCTCAGCTTCAGGCTGAAAATGCTACTTTTCTTGGGGTGCCAGAATGACTGAAATTAGGTTTTTTTAAAGGAAAAGGCCTTTCATCTTTTGCAATATATGTCACAATATCAGGCTGTGCTCCTCCAGATTTACTGTAGTGGAAAGAGCAGCACTGAAGAAATCGGTGCCAAGACTGATATGTAAATATCAGTGTTCTGAACAAGTACTGCACCACTCACCACCCAGACTGCTGGAGAACTGTCAGCACCTGTGGGGGACAACACCCAGCAAGTGCTAAATTCTTATTTTACTGGCTTTACTTCAGCTGTTTTAATGCTCCCGTCAGGTTTCACCATGTACCTGCTAAGGAGGGTTATGGCACTGCAATGCCCTTCTGGACAGTGACTATGGTAGTACAGCAATTCCTAAAGCTTTAAGAAGGGAACTGTTCACACCTCATTCAACTGCTGGAGCCTCAGCCTGTACCTGCTGCTACTCATGTTTTTGACCAAGTCTCAACTAGAATGTCCTGTCCCAACCTACCAGCAGAAACTCCCTGTCACAGAGCTCCCAGCCTAAGCAAAGCTGTAGGATCAGGTCTTCAGGTAATTAATGGGTTAAAGAATAAGAGCTTTGATAATGGAGAGAAGTTCACAGAAAAAAAAATTGAAGTGTTTTCAGCTGATTTTAACCCACTGAAGGCACAGTGGTATTCTTTCAGGTTGATAGTGCAAGAGAGGGAATCAATCTTCCAAGCAGCAGAGACAAATCAATTCAGAACGTTTCAGAGCGAAGCCAGTGCAAGGTGACAGCCAGCAGTGTGACAGGGCACAGGGCTCCTGCACTTCCCCGAGTGCCACACAGGATGGGGGATCACATGCTCCAGAACAACCTGGATTCACTTGCCTTTACACTCACAGCCACAGCTCCAGGCTCAGAAGCCAAAGGGTGTTCCTTTCCAGCCACACAGCAATCCCAGCTTGCCCTGCCTTGGGATTAACACCTCGCACCACAGTTCATTTCTCCCCGTGTCTCTCACACGTTATCCTTAACAAGCTACATTACTAAAATCCCATGGCTTTGGCAGTGCCGGCGGTTTTAGGAAAAACGCAGGCTGCTTGTTCTTTTTGCTTAACACTCCTGTCATCTTCCTCCCCACAACTCCACCCTCCTCTCCGCACGTCCTGAGCTCCTCTTTTGCACAACTTCGCTACCAAAGCAGCTCCCTGTTTCACAGCCTGTGCAAATGCAATACCTGTGATATTTCCCCCAGATCTGTGTACCTTTGTGTGACTGCTTACATATACAGTTGTGAGATGGGAAATAAAAAAGCTACCAACTTTAGTCTTGTCTAATTCTGTAATCCTCCCACAAGACACTACTGAGTATACAGCATCAGCCTTTATATCTGCCATAATCACATGTAACAGCATTCTGCTTAGAAGTTCCTGCTATCTTTCCACACCTGCTTCTTCCCCTTTTCTCATAAGCAGCAGCCTGCCCACCCATTACCTGGGCTTTTTTTCTTTAACCTCCAGCAACCTGAAACAATATGCTTGCTATCTAAATCCCACCATGAAGAAAATCCTTACCCCAGCTACAGCCACATGAGCATTCGTGCACTGAAAGAGTTGAGCGTTAGAGCTCAAGTGTGAAGTTCACATGATTACAATTCATACAAGGCTGGCAAAAGCAAAAGTGAGGGAAGGTGTGTTCCTCTCCCTCTGTCTGAAGCATCAATTTGTCCATGTACTTTACCCTTCTTGCCCAGGAAAGAAAAAGCTATTGTAAAATACTATAAAGTAGATTCATATAATCCAAAAATGAAGGTCCAGCTGCAGTAATTGAAGCTGACAGCTGAGCTGTTCAGTGCTAAATTTTCTCTGTCAAGGTTGTGTTGGAAATATCTTTTAGTCCAGCAGCAAAGACTACAGCTATGGGTTACTTGTACCCACAAGGCTCAACAGCCTTCCCTCTAGGTCTGCCATTCCCCCTGTGACACACAGCACAACTTCCCACAGCTACCAAAGACTTCTTGCTGCTGTAAATTTTTTCATGTTTATTTTAAAGTAGTCACATGGTCCCCATTCTATTCTGGATGATTAATATTCTGGATAGCTAATAGCCTGATGGATAC